CCCCAAAACCCCAAAACCCCAAAACCCCATGCATAAGGTAATGATGATAGTAGCTGATGAAAGATAATATATTTAAATTCAAATTAAAGTATACTAACTTGTACGCTTTAAAAATGGACTCTTCCCAGTTCAACACACTTTACAACACTCAGTCCTCTCACTCACTGACTACGGGACTTAGGAAACTAGATCTTGGAGGTAAGCCATCAATCATAGTTTCTAAAGATAGATTAATAATTTTAACTTATAGGTTCTTCCTAAGGCATTCCTGGTCAATCCACCATAGGGAGCTCAACAATGAATCCCTCGCCTTTTTATTAAACACAAAATTTGAATTAGAACTTCGCATTCCATCAACAGTAAAATCATTTGCAGTCAACTCAGTCAAACCTAATCAACGATGACATCAATTAGAGAACAGGACCACTTACTTTCGGTAACTCTATGAATTCATTTGGGGTAAATGGTGGAAACATCCTAAATTCTGCTGTTTTATCTTCAAACAACTAACATAGCAATAACATTTTGAATTAGTCAATTGACACCTCCACTTGCTCCAATGCTCCAAACAGTGCCTTCCACTCACCAAAACATACTAATACCAATAATTACTTTAAGTCTGGATAATCTATGATGGGTCAGTAAGCATTCTAAAATAGTTAGAGACCAGTAACAAATGTCTTTAGCTATGGAGCTTAGGTGTCAACAATGGGAGTTGGAGCCAATAATGCTACAGGATTCAACCAAATGCCCAATTAAATCCCAAATCAATTCAGCTCAATCTCAAGCAGACAGAGTGACTATCAAGATACCCCACTTAGATAGCCTAATCTTATGGCGACACCTTTCAGTCACCAGACACAACAGTCTTATTAAAAGTCCACAAACATGATTCATGATAACAGCTAACAGCACAAGGGCTTTAAGTTTAATGAAACTTTGTATGATAAGCCACTCCTAATTAGAGTTAAATGTCAGGACCGTGAAGACTTTGACTAGCATTTGAATGTTAAGATCGCTGTTCACGCCTAGTCTACAACATCACAGTAGCAGATTCTTACTCTTGAGCTAACTGATGAATTCAATCCATATTTCTTGTATACTCTAGACTGTCTTGAGTCTGACTTCCATCATATTAAAATGAAACAGCAGTTCCTCTTTGACTTCCAAAACTTCCCTCACTTCATAATTGAGCAATTAGAGAAATGCTAACTTTGTGTTAAGCAAAATGGAGATCAACAAGTACCCATGCAATACAGAAGCAACTTCTGCCAATTTTAACCTGGACTCTCAAATGAGGGATAACTCTGCTTCATAGAATAGAATCAATACCAATCATTGATAGTGCTAAATCTAGTGCTTAAATAAGGCAACGATGAATCATTAAAGAAATATCTAGCAGGTAAATACCACGAGCACAAGCAGAGAGGTAACCAGCTCCACCAAGAATTGATGGACACGAAGCACTTGAGTGAACAGCAGAAACTTCAAAATGAGACTTTCCTCATGTAAATCAACCATCTTACGGACGAGAGCAAGAAGATCATCTCCTAGATGAAGCTAGAGGAGGAAAAACGTCTGCATGAACTCAGAGAAAAGACACTCATTGAGTAGTCAGAGATGCAGAGTCGCTATGAGCAAGAAAAGAGGAATATGTCATAACAGTACGAGCAGACTTTGTAGGAGAAGGAGCAGCTTTACTCTCAAAGAGAAAAGCAAACCATGAGTATGATTGAGGACCTAAAGAATCAGTCAAAAGATATGCAAGAGAAGGATTAGAAGAGATTGAATGAACTGCTTCATCAGCTCAACCAAGAAAAGGAAAATGAGAAGCTAATGCTTAATCAGATGCTCAACATCAACGTCGGTTAAGAGGTATCATTAATATATAATAAATAACTTATTTATAGCTCGAGAACTAGAATTAAGATTCATCTCTAACTGGTGTTCATTTGACTGCATAATTGCTCATGGTTGAGAGAGCAACTGAAATCAAACGCCTACAGGAGAAATTAGAAAAGTTGACTTACGAGCACAATAATGTTTTAGACATTAAACGTAATCTTGAATCAGAAAATAAGGAGAGAAAGGCCAAGATCGAGTGTCTACTTCATGAAGTAGAGGTGCTTTCAAATTAGTTGAAGGACTTGAGAGATACCAACAAGGGCTTAGACACTCATAAATTCACCTAAGAGAAATCAATCACTGAGTATATGCTTAAGCATTAAGCACTCTTAAGAGAACTTGAGGATAAGGAGCAAATCATCTAAAAGATCAATAGCCTGCTTGAATCTAACAAAACTTAAAAGGATATCATAGAGTAAAATCTAGCTAATGAACAAGCCAAGACTGCTAAGATGCAATAAAAGCTTGAATTTAGCAAGAATGAATTGGAAAACGCCCAGAAAATGATTGATAAGTTGAAATCAGACAAGAAAACTCTATCTTCTAAAGCTAAAACAAAGAATAATGTGATAATGTAACAAGAAGCATAAATTGTATAGAAGTAAGAGCAAGTGGATGAATAGGTAAAGCTTTGCAATGAGATGAGAAAAGAAGTGGAAAGAAAAGATATAGAGGTAAGAGATCTTTTGAGCTTGAATAACACTCTCAAGCAAAAACTAGAAGAGAGCTAGAAGAGCTTAGAAAGCAATGCTTAAATGATCACTTGGCTAAACAAATAATTGAATGATAAGCCAGGTATCGGAAGTAGCATTTACTCAGGATCTACCTATAAGCCACCTATGTCAACTTCATCAATTAAACCACCTGTAAGTGGTGGTGGTGGTGCCTCTACCTTATTTAAACCAACTTTTGCCTCAATTGAGCAACTAAACAGTAGTTCCAGCACTCCAAATCTCGGTTTAGGTGGTAGTATAGGTGGTGCTGCTGGCGAGAGATCTGGAACTTCTTATGAGAGAAGTCCTTTCAGAAATTTGACTACTACTCAGAACAACTTAATGAACACTCCATCATCCTTGTCATCAAATACAAGCTCAGTAGGAAACTCATTTATCTCTCAATAATCATCTACTATCAATTTGAAGAACCAAGCTTATGAACAAAAGCCACCTATTCAAATCCAAACTAACACAACTTAGGCTTTCAACTACACTCCAAGTGGACTTCCAACTGGCTTAAAGTCACCACAAAACAACGAGAATGTGAACTCAAACCTCCCATTTTCACAGCCACAATTCGTTTCAAAATACTCTCAATAAATCTATATACAGGCTTAACAAGATCAGCTTCAGTAATAAACCTCTCAAAAGCCACTCATAACTACCAATAACAACATTAGCTCGTCAATCACAGGAATGCCTAACACTCTAAATAGTCATCAATTCTAAAGAAGTAGTTCCTAATCCTCCATCTCATCTGGATCATCGCACAATCAATCAGTTTATTCAAGTAGCACTGTGAGTGAGTGCAATTATGGTAGTTCATAAATGGCACCATAATAAACTCTATCTGGTACTATGTCATTCAATCCATATCAAACCAAGTACTCAACTCTCCCACCTTAGTAACAGCTCATGGAGTCTAAAGTAGGTATGAGTACTAAATTAGGAGGAGGAATGGTCCTTGATGATAACAATGACACTCAAATGAGTGGAGGTGATGCTTTTTAAGCATTTTTATCAAAGACTGACGGCGAAGAAGACGACGAATGAGCATCAAAATGAGTATGATAGTAAGATAGATATAAGCACAACTTGAAATTTATATTTAGACATAAATTAAATTGCTTTATAAAATTCAGTTCGAATTATGCTTTTTCATATTATATGCTTTCGGGGTTTTGGGGTTTTGGGGTTTTGGGGTTTTGGGG